AAGGGATCTGGTGCACTGAACTAAGTGTCTGTCTTTTGCTTTATGTTTTTGCCTTTTTTTTTTTTTTTTTTGGCTTTGCTGAGCTTGGATTAGTGAGAGGAAACCTCCACTGACTCCATGTCGTAGACGGAAGCAGGACCTGCTGCCTTGGTTCAGCGAGAGTTTATGCACACTCAATCTTTCCTGAAGTTTCTATCTTGTAGACCCAGCGCTTTCCTGTTTCCTTCTTGCTGGCCCTGATCACTGTAGAGATAGTGCCAGAGCAGGACAGCATTGTCTTAAAGCCAAAGTATAATTCCTCTAGCCTGTTAGTGCTCCATTCAAGCAAGGCATGAGGCTCCTTGAATGGCCTTCTAATGTGAAAGTCACACGAATCTTTCACGCTGCACGTTTGTGAAGACTCTACCTGAATGGTCACGTATCTAGACTGAAGAGACAATTATTTGAATTGCATCACCAAAGCAATGCAGAAAAATGTGAGTAACCCAATGAATTAGACCATAAATGCGCTATAGAGTTTGAGATTTTTTTCTCAAGGTTTTGCTGTTGCTGCTTTTTACGCACTTGGTACGTTCACAGCTAACGGATGCATTTCCAGTTCTGGAACCATCAAGTGTGCAGGACATGAAACATGTCCATCGACAGGCCTGTAAAATGGACATTTCTCTCCATTCAGAGAGGACCAGCCAAGTGCTCTTGATTTTGACCTTTGTTGTCATTGAAAGCAGTTATACAGTTTTCTCCACCAGCAGCTTTATTCATTTAGTACAGCTTTCTGCAGACACAGGTGCCTCTGCACACCTGGTCACCAAGTTAGCTTCATCAGGAGAGTCAGATTGAGTTGGAAGAGCAGAATACTCAATGGGGTAAAAGTGTAGATAGCTTAACTGAAACACAGATGGAATCAGTGCCACAGCCAAGGTCACAGGGGGAATCAGTCTACCCTGCAGGTCAGGGCTGGATGGTTCTTTAAATGACCAATGAGCAAGTCAATAGGGAGTGAGCTTGTATCTGTTAAGGCATCGGTGAGCTTCACGTGTGGGAAAGTGCAATCATGGAAGCCAATTCTCTTTCTGTTCACCAAAGGGGACATGGAAGGTCTCCTTCCAAATGGGACACACTTATGTCCTGTGTGACCTCCCGATGTGAACAGCAGACCTTCCTTTGTGCTGCAGCTCCCGCTTGACGTTGTCTCCTTTTAGTCTTTCCCATCTTGCTAGTCACCTTGCATGGCTGTGAGCGCGTCCTCTGGTTTTACACCAGCGTTTGCAGAAACTCCGTTCAAAGAGACACAGATACTCTTTAGTTTAGCTTGCAAAGCCCATCCCTCGCAGTCCATACCCACAGATCCTGCGGGGCTCCTCTCAGCAGACCGACTCACTGCTCAGGGCCTGCAAGCCGTAGCTGCTGCACTTCAAAGGCTTCGTTCAGAAAGCAAGAGAGAGAACGAGATGCATTTCCCTGTTTCAGGACAAGAAAGGGTCAGAGATCCCGCAGGTAAGATCAGAATTGCTATGACTGCCTGGGAGGAGATGGTCTTAAGGGAGTTTTGAGCGGGTCATTGATGTTTTAGTGAGTAGCGTTTGAAAGATACTAGTAACTCCTATTCCTGTTTTTTCTTAAAATAGGAATTGCCTTTCACTGCCACATGAATTCTTGTGCTGGTGGGTGCTTTTTTCATGCTGCCTGCAGTTGTTTGTTGGAGAACTGGGGCTTCTGCATACAGAGAAGTGAAAAAAAGAAGTGGAGCATGCCTAGTTTTCGAATGTCGACTAGTGCATGACATCAAATTGCATTACAGCATGTGATTTATCTTCTCAGTAAGTTAGGAGTTCAGTGTAGGAATCCAAAACATGCCGGCTTCACTGCCGTATGCTTGCAAAGCTGAAGCAGACATTGCAGAAGAGAAAGAAGGTACAAATTTCGGTTAGGTGGATAAAGAGCATTGCAGACATACTATGCCTACAGCTGTGCTTTACCTCACCACTGCCGCTCATTCCCATTATACATCCTCCTATCTCCCCTCTGCGAGAGAAGGATGGAAAAACAGTGTTTGGGGGCTAGTTATGGACGGAGTGGAACGGGCTCTGATGAACACCTGCTCTCAGACACCACATTTCTTCCGTTATGTGGCCTGAACGGAAACCCAAAACCACAGTTAGTGTTTCTTGTATTTAATTTGCTAAATAGACTTACAGTGCATAGAATGAATGCTGGCCTTAGGCCATAAGAACTATGCATCTTTTGCAAAGAAAAACTAATACCAGAATTAACTCACTGGAGACTTTTTTTTTTCCTTACCCCTGCCCCGTGCAGCTTACAAAGCTCAGATAGATGGGGAGTGCAGTGCCGGTAATGCAGAGAAAATTCTCATACAAGATTTATAGGACAGTTTTGAAGATGTGATGCCAAAAATGGAGGGAAGGGGCGCTCCTCGCAAGCATGCGTAAAGCCCTCATATCATGGGATTTCGCTGAGAGCTGCAGATTATTCCCTTCTCTAGCACTCAGTTCAGAGCAATTGCTGCTCTCCGAAGCTCGCTTACATCAGCTGGGAAATAATTGTTTCTTTGAAACTCCATGGTGATCTGCCCTTGATTGAGCTGCTGCTTAAGGGAAAAGCAGTAAGCAAGAAGACCAAAACAATTACAGATTGCTACAAACCCAGTTGTTACTACAGATACCTTTATAATTCAATTTAAAACATTCCATTAGCCAGCATGCTGGTAATATGCTTTTTTTGGCAGAAACTCAGCAGACATTATTGCTTTCTTTCTCTTCTCCCTCCCAAATTAATGCATTAGCTTTCTGGGCTCTAGGACATCCTCAGCCCACAGGGTTTAGCTGCAGGAAGAAGTGTTTTAATGATGTAAAAGCAGGGGATGGCAGGGATGGTAGGTAGCAAGTATATAAGCAAAGGCTAGCTTAAAAGTGAGATTACCTAGTAGGACTCACTAATGCTTTAAAATACATATTTATATAGATGGGATTCAGTCGCCCAGCTTTTTAGGATACGTTGTGTTGTAGGCTTGTGCCCTAAGGCAGGTGTTAGTCTGCTAACCTGCAAGCTACTGATATTTTAGGTCTGTGGAGAAGGCAAGTCTCCTCTAGAAGGCAAGTAGCCCCATTTTAGGAGTAGTGTTGACGATGACAGTCCAGTTACATGAAGCTGAGAACACCCTTCACCCCAAGCTGATGGTGATCCCTCATCTGGCCTTTTGTCAACATTGGGTGCAAAGTCCTGCTTGAACCAGGATTAGCTGGAAGAGGGTCAGACTACTTTTAAAACATGACCCCTCTTCCTGTGTCTAGACAAGGCATAAATTTATTCCGTGCTAAGAGGTTATAACTCATGCTTTGAGGGGCCAGGAGAAAGGAATGAGTTATTATGAGGAATTAGTACTCTGTGTTTGCATTTCATTAGCGTGTGGAGGCCCTAGTCAGGATCAGGCTCTGGTTAGACATGACTCAATGAGTGGTGGGAAGTGGGGGTGGACCTTGAGTTTTGGAAGAAGCTGGAGGAGTGATTTGCTTCATTTGTGAGAGGGCGAACAAGACGTGATGGAAGAAAGAAAAAGAAGTTGGCATGCTAGCGATCCTTGCAAAACAGAGAAGGAATTTGAGAGGCGTGTTAGCTGTGTAGATAAATGGGATTTTGATGGAGCAAAGTTGGAAGAAGATAGTTCAAACCATTCTGAAAGTGGTATCCCATTTTCCCAAACAGTTTGTGCTAGAAATGCAGTAAGATGATGGGAAACACATGAAAATTAAATGCAACTGGGACTACCTCATCTATATCCTCCAAAAGAGGAATTTGGAATGTATGGGTTGCGTTCGTTAATACTCGATTTGGAGAAAAGGTTGTTTTGTTTGGATTCAATTTGTGCAATAAATGGTAGAGAAAAATCATGCTTTGCTTAGTATAAACCTGTCCTTTGGGTGCTTTTCTGTTAGAAAAGGCTTTGACTATCAGCAAAGTTTTGTGTGAATGCTTTCAACTTTCTAATCGCCTCTTGTGGAACTGGTCAGTAGACAGACCAAACGTTCTGCCTCAGAACATTTCATATTCATCTTCCATGAAAAAAAATATATTATTTGTTCATCATGGTAACAAAACGTATTACTTTTTCTGCATGATTGAAGTGGCTTTGCAAAGACCATAAGGACACAATCCCTCTCTTTTAAAGACACTTCACTTAGTTTTACACACTCAAGAATTAGGGGCATATTCTCACCAACTTAAGCTTGCTGTACACTTGGTGTTGAGATGAACGTGATGGTGGCAGCCCTGGGGCACAGGATGGGCCAATGCCCCTGTCCCTTGTCCTTTTCCTCCCTTGTGCAGAGTCAAACCAAGGCATGACCAACTCTGTGCCAGGCCATCTGAATGCAGAGGGGAAGCATGCATGTCTTCACCTACTCTCTCCTATGGAGAAAGGCAGTGGTTGGAGAGAGGATGCAGTGTTGGGTCACAAGTTTAGCATCACTGAAAAATACCTACTCCACAAAAACACCAGAAAACCACCTTGTTCAGGGCCCCCTTTTATTAGGCAGTCTACAGGCACCACAACCAAAGAGCTGTGCAGTCTGTAATGAAGCTCTCACACACAAAATGAATCTTGCCTTGAATGATGAAGGCAACGTAAGTAATTGAATGTAAATTACACCATCTTTTTAATGAAATACACTCTGACATGACAGAGATTTCAGGTGACTTCATGGACGAGGGATACTGGAAACCTCTCTTTCTCCTAGGCTGGGTGTGGGATAGTGTATCTCTGAGGTGCACATTTATGTTCCACTCCCTGTGTCATTCAACAAAATACAGCGTTTGGTATTTAATGCTGGCAATAATAGCTGACAGATTGCTCACAGGAATTGCCAGATCCTGGCCCAAACTTCTCCACTTGCACATGCATGCACTTGCTTTAAAATCCAAAATTGCTCAGGGAGGAAAATGTTGACCCTTCTGATCTGCGTTCTCACTTTTGTCTTTTCCAGCCACTTCTACGTCTACAACTGGGACAAGTCATCTCACAAAATGTGACGTAAAGCAGAAAGCCTTCTGTGTAAATGGGGGAGAGTGTTACATGGTTAAGGATCTCCCAAACCCTCCAAGATACCTGTGCAGGTAAGAAATCCTGTTTGCCTGATTTGGTAGAGCCATGATGTTTCTTAAGTCCTTTTTTTTTTAAAAGCAACATATGAGAAATTTCATTTTCCAGACTTACTGCTTATTTCTTCCTTCTTAAGTATGTGATATGAAAATAATCCTACTAGAAAAGACCTCTGTGGTCTATGTATCATGCACAGCAGAGGTGAACAAACAAAACTTCCCATGTGAAAAATGGGACAAGGAGGTCTGTTGATATTTGTATCACATCAAGTAACATGTATTAAGCCTTAAGTTAGAAAAAAAATGAAACGGATACTGTAAACTAAATATACATTAAAGAGCAAAAGAAAAAAAAAAAGTTGAAATAACTATTTTGGAGACATCTTTTATACAGGAAAAACTGTGGTTATTTTCATTACCTGCTCTAGTAACTAATATTCTGCTTTCTGGTAAGACTGGATTCACAACTTGAGTTGTTACTGTTGTGTTAAATGCATAGAAAATAATATTTATTGTGCTAATTGGTGGAGATTACTATTCCATATAAGGATCCTGATTCAAGAGGTGATATAAACACAAGTTTCTATGTAAGTGAGTGTCTGTGCACCTTCCTCAGATGTTGTACTGCTTGGTAGCAGGCTTTTGCAACAGGACGCTATTTTGCAGAAGAACTAAGATACTGGAACTAAGACACTGGAGTGTGTATCCTCTAACTTCCAGCACATTATATTACATTTGCTTCTGGTGCTGAACTGGGCTCAGCAAGTTGGTGCTTCTCTCCAGCTTAAAAGGGAGCTCAGAATTTGGCTCCTTCAGAAATGTTTCTGGTACCTAGCAGGGCTCACCTGAAATGGGTCCCCTATACGAAGATCTGCTGCAAGAGGTGGTGGTGAGCAGAAAGCAGCCCTCTGTAACTGCATAGAGTTACAGTCTTCTAAAAGTAAAAATCAAATGCTGGTAATTATAAAACTGACTTGAGAGGTGAGAAGGAGAAAAGTCTTTGATCATTTCATTAGGGCAGGAAGACACAGAGTACACTGCTCTGGTTTTAATCACAAAAAAAAGCACACTGTTCTGCTCTACTTGTGCTTTTTTTATTATTATTATTATTTTTATAGGATCTTACCTGTACTTTGTGAGGCCTGTTTTGCTTTGTACTTTCCCAGACTACTCTGCTGCTGAAATCATGAATATTTTATCCATTTCAGAATCATTTTTAGCTAAATTGAATATGGAAAAGCTACAGACTCTTATGGTTTGGATTTTGGTGGGGGAGAAGGAGAAAATGAGAAAGAAGGAGTAGTGTTAAATTTACGTGCTCTTCACAACCCATCAGTGCATGATGAGCAGTTTGATGCAGCTCTCTGGGGCATGTACCAGTGCCTGCCTGCCTGCTTCCACTTCCAGTCCAAACACCACTCAGATCACCTCAGAGCAACAGGGCTGAGTATATAGCAGCATTCCTACTAATTGCTCTTGCCCTGACAGCTCCAGAGTTACCCTTTTTTCGCTGTATTATGGGATTTCTTTTTTTAATGCAAGATCTGACAGAATTTGCTCTTTGATGTTATAATTCAGCTAATTCTTTACAATGAAATGTCTCACAAACACTTGAGTGGGAGTCCTTTTTTGGTAGACAAGAAATAACCTTTAAATTTAGGTCGGAAGTTGAAAGGAAAAGAAACTTCCAAATTGGCAGATGTGCATCATTCTGGGTGGCCCCAGACCTATCTGGAAAAAGCATCAGAACTGTAAAATCAGAGGGGATGAATCTCTTTTAATGTAAGGCAGTGGAAAAGGTTCCTTTTCCTAAGGACAGTCTCTGCCATGGTTGTTGGCAGTCTCTGCCAGTGTTGGCCTTCTGCTATACATTCCTATATTTGCCATCATAAAGCTGTATGTCCTATAGTAAAACATGAAGTGATATAGTAACACAAGAAATGAAAGAGTGAGTAATTGTAAGAGGGTATACTGAGAAACTGTTGAACTATATATATATTTCTCAGAGTATACTGAGAACTGAGAAACTATATAACATCCTTTTCCGGGTGAGTAAAAAAAATGCATACGAATACTTTTAATTCCAGTACTCCAGTGTTAATTAAAATGAATACCTATCAAGTACACATCGCCCTCATTGTTCTGAAAAAAAAATAGGTTTTCCACCAGAACACGCCTCTGGAAGCAGAATGCCTGAAATATGGTACTTGCTCTTTATATTTCTGCCTAGTAGCAAGTTCGTATTTTTCCATATGGTCCATCTGTTGAGAGCAAAAACAAAATTTCTAAAGCATGAGCCATGTCATTAAAATTGGTTTTATCCCTTACCAAAAAACATGACTTAAATCTGCAACAACCATGGAATTTTCCAAATAATATCTCTGGTTTTGTTAAAACTTCAATTTTATTAAAAGAAATGCCTCTGTCTTCTTTTGATATGAGTTAGAGGTATGTATTCGAAATTTCTTTTTTCTAAAACATGTGGTATCATGATCAGTTTTTGCTCTCCTAGATACTGATGTGAATTTTGATAAAATTACCTGCTTTTGAGAGATAATTACTTGAAATATTCAAGAAGTGTGCCACGACTTAGTAATGTTTTCTATGACTGCATGTCCAGTAACATATGTATGATTTGTATGAGTTTTTTTAAATATAGTGACAGACTGAACAAAATAATCTCCAAACATGAAAGATGAAAAGGAAACTTTGAGAAGAGTTAAATAAATAAGCATGTAACATTTTCAGAAGTTTCATAGGAACACAAGTCCTGTTTTGATTATGTTGTAGACTTTGGGATTCTGGGTTTCAACAACTTCCTGGAAGACTTAAGTTTCTAAGTCACTTCTGCTGGAAATGTATCCTCAAGCCACTGAAGACACAAAATCAGATAGTTTCTTAAACAAATATACAATTAAGGCCAGCATTCCTAGCTCTTGGTTCTCTTTTGAGCAAAATTATATGGAGAATTTTAGAGACTTCTCATGCAGAATCCTAGTATGAAGCTTCTGGTGGTTGGACTAATCTGCTGGAAGTCCACTAGCAGAGATCTTTTACAATACTTTTGCTGTTACTGAAGAAATTAATTTTAAATTCTGATTTCACTGGTTGAAAGCAATGATTTTGTCTAATAGAAGAAAACAATGCTTCTTTCTAATAGAAGGATGTTGCTTCCCTTCTTAAGCAAGCGTGAGTTACTTATCTTTTAGTGGTATCAACACTGCATGTATTCTTCTTCATGTAAAGGCCTTGCTGGAATAGAAATTGATGGAAGATTCTAGAAAACAGCAAAAAGATAAAAATTGCCATCACATCACTAAAAAAGGTTTTGCAAATCCATTTGGCAATTGATGTGGAAATCAATTCCAGGGGCAGAATAAAAATGGTAGTTCTGATCTAAGCTATGAAACAGAGCAGTAAATTAAATTTTTGTGGAAAAAAAAAAAGGAACATTAATATATTTGCTTGTAGGCAGCAGATTAAATGGAAATGTGAAGTCCTGATTCATTCAGCCATTCTTCTCCTGCTGAAAAACACCGTTTGATGATATGTGTTTGATGTTCTGAGTAGTGCATCTCTCCTGAACATACACAGATACTGCTTTTTTCAAATACCACATGTAGAGCGGCGAAAATAAAGCAATTAGCTTAGCATATTTGTGTTTTACCCCTTTGATACAGTACTCTGAGCAGCCTTTGTTAAGCAGAAAAGAAAATATGTGGCTCTAGTGACACAAATGTATACGAAGAGCAACTCTATTGCCTTTAGCTGCGTTTCTCCAAGTTTTGGCAGTATCGTAATAGGAAACTGCATGTGGATAATGGAGGAAAGAAAGACACAAAAGGAACAGCATCTGGAAAGACTGAGTGGGATAAGGTGTTTTAAAAATGATACCATGACAAGCTGTTCATAAAAGGGTAGTCTACAGTAAACAAGCTGCCAAACAGTGCTGGAGACTGTGCTGCATTTTACATCTGAGCCATAAAATGCTGTTCGTGTTCACACATAATCAGACGTGGACACAATCATCTTGGCCCACCCTGGACCTCTTCGTGGTGGCAGGTGCTGTGGTTCTCCTGCTGACGATGGTGTCAGGACGAGCACAAACAGAGCTGAGCAATTTCCAGCGCCGTTTGGAGAGGATTGACCTCTTTCGGTCTGGAAACGATTTCAGTACCGTGAGCTCCAGCCTACGAGTTGTTCATGGCCCCTCTGCAGCTGCAGGAACATCTGAGAACGAGCAAGCCCAGGGGCCGGTGGCAGGAGCAAAGCCCAAGGCTGCCCAGCCACACGTGCTCCTTGGTGTAATCCTCAACCAAACACTCCAGAATGGTCCAGGAATAAAGTGACTGGGATGGTGGGAATGCCTAGCATCTTTCTGGTGTTTAGCAAGACCACTACTGTGCAAAATAAAGTGGAAATTACGGGGGAAAGCCTTTTTCACTCTCACTGGGTAACACAAAGCAAAATGATGTCTTCAACAGAAGACCAGCAGCATCATCTTCTCATGGCAGGGTTGTCCTTGTTACCTCTTTCTTAGTTGAATGAGCCTGTGGAGACCAAGGTCTGTCTTCAAACTTTTCAGAAGATGTGGTCTTGCTTCTGAAGAACATAAACTCACCTTCCTTAATAAGCAAATGTACCCCAAAAATCCTGTGTGGATCCCTAAAATGCACCTTTATAATACAAAAATTTCTTATGCATTTTTTTTTTCAGCAAGATACTTATGTTTATGCCTGACACCACTGTAACATCTTTCTCTAAATCCTGCTTTTATCCTCTGTGACCTGTGAGCTAGAGGCAGTTGTGGAGGAGCAAAATATAAAAAAACAGATCATATTTCAATGCACGTGAGGTCATGATGGATAGGAGAGATGCAGAATTGTTCTGAACAACTTACAGTTGCAAATACCAAAGCTCCTCAGAGCCTGGTGATTAAAGGATGAGACCATGTGAGGAGGGCACTAGCAGGAGACAAGGGCAGCAAGGGCAGAAGAAAAGGAGACTGCACCACAGCAAAGCTCATGGAGAATATTAGGAGGGCCGCCACCAAACTAAAATGGATGTAAGGAAGTAGATATTGCCTGATTTATGGTTACATGCCAAGACGGAATGGATGGAAAAAGGAGGAGAAGAGACTGAAATTCATCCATGTTGTGTGCAGTGGAAAGCCATGCTGACTCATGTCAGAGGGAACAACAGGAGCGTGTACTTCTGTGAAGATATTTTGACAGCATGCTGCCAAGCTCTGTCCTGAAATCAGGAGTAAAGTCAAAGGAAGAACTGACGGCCAGCAGCAGGAAAGATGACAAGTAAAACACGGAAGAGAAAAATATCTTTGACTATGACCAGAAAGCAGCACGTACCAGAGGTTTCCACAGAAGAACACATGAATTGTGCAGGTGTGGGGCTTTGGATTTTGAAAGTAACTTTGCCCAAGGACCATCTCATTCTTATTTCCTGATTGGACTGACTTGTTTTGGGTTTCAGATTATCTTTTTTACTTTTTTTTTTTTTTTTTTTTTTTTTTTTTTTTTTTTTGAGGAGATTGCTCTTTTAGCTGTTACTCGCTAAAGGAAAGTGTTTGAAGATACAACATACTGTTAGAAAAATAGGAAAATCATGGTATTCCTAAAGATCTTATATGACTCCTGAAGCCAACAGTGTGAACTGCTGCTATACACTGCACTACAAACTGGAAAAAAAAAAAATCAACCTGGTTCCTTAATGAAGGCGGAATTCACTTGGATAATGAGTCAGTACTCATTTTAACTAGGGCTGATTCTTCTTGCTTTTTTAAAAACAGGCAAGCAAAAATCCTAGATTTTTCTCTGGTGCATTTTTGTTGTGAATCTTGCAAAGCGTTATCTTCTTCAAAGGCTGCACTTTCTCCCTTTTTTTTTTATGATCATTTTTCACTAACGCATAACCAGGAGGTTATTTAAAGCACTCCCGTCTCCCTAGGCCAGCAGATGACAGTCTGATAGAGCAGGGGTTTTGGTGTACTATTGCTTATCACGTTTTTGCCCTTTAGGTGCCAACCTGGATTCACTGGAGCAAGATGTACTGAAACTCTGCCCATGAAAATCCAAAACCAAGAAAGTATGTTAAAATAATCTGAACTTTGCTTTCTCCCCCAACTACAGCAACAAAATCAATAGTACTTGGTGTTTTCACAGTTCAGTTGGAACTGGCCTCTTTACACACTAATTTATGACCTGATTTGCTAAACTGGAATCTGTACACCGTGGCATTATTGACCTCCAAAATGTTTCTCATTTGTGTGATTTTTAATCTTTCCATCCATTCGCAGATGCATTTGTATCGCACGCACGGGCAGCTTTCTTGTTTGGGAGACTGCTGCAAAGTGCTGCTTTAAAAGAGCAAACTCACCGAGATGAGATCTTGTTTCCTAGCTGCCTTGTGGAAAAAAAAGTACGCTCAAAAAGCAATTTGGGAATTTGGAACGGTGAATTCCTCTTTTATTTCTTGAAATGCACTTTGATCTGGATTGATTGGTTTGGTTTTGGTTATTTTTGCTGGGGGGAGATTTCTTTTCCACTTCCACAGAGCAAGCGAGTTGCTCTCACATCTTGAGCCATTTTGACGTGCTAAACCGAGATTCAGTTTCTGAAAGTGAACTCACCAAGTCAAACCAGTTCACACTGAAGGAGCTTCTTTCTTAGCATATATTCACCTCTTCTCTTTTCTCTGTTTTTTTTTTCTCTACCATTTTTGTTTGTTTGTTTTTCCTCTCAGGTGCCCAAATGAATTTACTGGTGATCGCTGCCAAAACTACGTAATGGCCAGCTTCTACAGTACGTCCACTACCTTTCTGTCTGTGCCGCAGTAGAAGCATGCTCAGTCGGTGCTGCTTTCTTGTTGCTGCATCTTTCCTCCAATTTTTTTTATTTTTTTTTCTTAATCTGTAACTAGATTTGTTGCCTTAGGCCTAATATTGATCGTCTCTGCCTGTTGCATGAAAACGATAACTGAAAGGAATTGCAATACTCTCCTGGATTGTTTGGTGTTGAGGTTATGGGGAAATGCGAGACGTAGAAACGCTGTGAAATTAACACTGAATGGTGCTATATGGACTCCCCACTGATACCGAGCAGTAAAAGTGCAAAAATTACATTTTGAAAGTCTCACGTTTTATTTGACACAAAATACTCATGAATCTTTACACAGAGCAGCGGCTCCCCAGTAAAGGGACATATAGCTGTACTCATATATGAGATTTGTGTTCAGAAACACCAGTTAAAGGTAATTCACAGGTCTGTGTTGTTTCAAATGAACATGCCCCAAACAGGAACAAAGCACTCGTTCTGCACATTGTGCAAGTTTAGGGGAAAGAGAGCACAGGGGGAGAGAGAGAGGGGGGGATAGAGGAAAGGAAGGAAGGAAGGAAGGAAGGAAGGAAGGAAGGAAGGAAGGAAGGAAGGAAGGAAGGAAGGAAGGAAGGAAGGAAGGAAGGAAGGA